GTTGCTTTGTCGAACTCCCTTTCAAATTGGAGCAGTCAGGGGGCAATGGAGTAGCTGCATCGTTGCTGTACAGTCTTGTAGCTATCGAGTTTCCTCACGTAAGCTGGGTCCACTTTTTGATCGACTAACGCTGACAGAATGACGTTCGTTTCGACGCTTCGAAGGCTTTCTCGCATCGACGAAGGTTAGGACGAGAGGCAGTTGTATTCCCTGCAGACCCCTATGACCTTCGAAACCGTCTGAATGTGGTCCATGCAACTGAATCCCTTGCGGAATCCAGCTTGTTCTTGCGGCAGGGCTTCGTCCAGTGTCCTAGATATGCGAGCGAGGATAATCTTCGTGAAAAGTTTGTAGAGCACACTCAGCAGGCACATTGGACGGTAGTTCCGAAGATCCTCCTTCTTAGAGAGAAGGACGGTTCTTGATGTTTTCCATTAGTCAGAAGTCTTCTTCTTCTGAAGGTAAGATGTGAAATGCGACGCTAGAACCTTGTGTAGATGGTTTCCTCCGGCTCGCAGAAAATTCTGGTTCTGGAGCCGTGGACGTCTTCATGGTCTATATCGCAATACGCACTCAGCAGGTAGAATCCTTGATGGTACTCCTCCAGTGGAAACATCAGCGCGGGTGTCGATGAGCGGAAGAGGTTGGTGTAGAAGCATTTGGGGATATTCCATCTGATATTCGGAAGAAGTTGGAGTCCCGTCTTCGTTCAATATTGCAGCCAGCGGTACATGATTTTCGCAGAAATCCCATTGGCTCTTCTTGAATTTCGTCTTTCTTCGGCTGCTTCCAGTATCTTGGCTTGCCTGTACTTCCTGAGATCCTCCTGCAAAGCTGTGCTGCAACTGACGTTGGCTAGAGGTGGGTTGCGTTCGGATCCTGCCTCGGAAATCTTCTTCTTTCGAGTAATCCCTTGGTGTTCTTCGAGATGCGTTCCAAGTTCTTTTCAAAAGTCGCTGAGGCGCACTCTCCGCCAGCTCGCAATCCTTTTAGAAGCCGGTCGTAGTCGTACTCTGGGTCCTCTTCGATGAACCAGTCGCAACTTGGTATGAGTTCTTCTACCTGCTACCGCCATGAATGATTTATTTCCTTCTTGCGGCATTGTAACAGACCTTCTTTTCCAGCTTTTAACTGAATCGTGCCTTCGTTCGAAGGAGGCGGTGATCAGCACTACAGAAGGATGGAACTACTAAGACATCAAGCAAGCTCCATCTTCGGTTGGTGAAAAGTAGTCCATCTACGTGAGTCGTTCCGTTGGGTAACTCCCAAGTCCACCGGGGATGTTCTTTCTTCATAAAGATGGAACCATGGAAAAATTGTGCGGCGGACAGAGGCCCAATGAGAGGTTGCCGTCTTCGTTCCGGAGACCATATCCAACTACTTCCCATTTTCTTTAATGGCATCCCGATTTTCGCGTTGAAGTCGCTTACAACAAAATTGTAAAAGGACTTCTCTCGCGGATGACCTCCTCCACATCTTCGTAGAAGGCGTCTAGTTCTGATTTATCGATGTTGGAGAGTAGCAGTTGACAGGACCAAGCAAGCGTTGGTTTGGAGCATTTTTGGAAACGAAGTCGGCTATAAAATCGCGAAAATTTACGAAGTCCCTTTTGACGTAAAAGTCAGCAGAGAAAACCTTGTTCAATCGACTTAACAAAACATAACGATAAAAAAGCGAAAAAAGTGAGTTTTGAGGTACCTAATATTAAAAAAAGCAGAAAAATACATTCTGAGTCGATTCAATTCTTGAGTATGGTACCATTTTCGTTTTCAAAAACGTTAAAAACCTCTTAGGCCAACCAAATCTGTGACCTCAACAATCTGACGATGCATTTTTCGCCACATAGTTCAAAGGATACCGCATGTGATTGAAGCGCGATATCTATCAATGCTTTGGTTCGCACTTGTTTAGCTCAAAAAAAGAAGAGAAGCAGTGGTTTGATTCGCTCTCTTCGCTGTATGATAGATTTTGGAGCGTTCTTTCCGTCCAAATCAAAAAGATCCAAAACTTATGTGAACTCACCAATGTTTATGCTCCGAGCCAACCCAGTTGGTTTTGTGTGTCTAGAAACCAACAAATTCGAGAACGGGTATTAGGTCACATAAATTTTTGATACTGATTGATTTTACATAATGTTGTTTGAAGTAATACTGTATATACATAGCCCAAATTCGGCGTCATGTGATTGTTTGTGCGCTGCAAACAAGCCATCTGTTTGTTTAAATCTTACGCTTGAAATTCGTGCTTGCCAAAGAACACGTTCAATCGTAAAACCTGACATGTTCGTCGTTTTTTTCGGTGTTTCGCCCAGAACCATATAAAAATGATATCCCCGTTGCTTCTAACCTCAAAAACGAAGTCCAGGACCATCTGTGCCGGGCCCTGGCAGGTAGTGATGCTGATGGCATTCTGATGTGGAAGGCGTGATCGTAGGATGACTGGTCGGGGTGATAGGATCTTGTGCGAATCGACAGATGGACGATTGATGGGTGGACGGCAAAGCCAACGCCCCCCACGTTTCGTGATGGAACCTTTTCACCAAAAATGATAAGCGTCCCTTCACTCGTCTGTCGCACATTCTTTTTCCTGAACTTCGTTGCCTATAGGGCGATGACGTGGTACATGATGTGCTCCGCAGCGTCCAGAAGAGCGTGGAGGTTGGCGTTTGTGGAGACTGTCCTGGCGTTCTAGGTGCAGAGCATGAGGCAGTCTCCATGACATGTCGTCCGGGCAGACGTGTCGTTTTTGTTTGGTCCGAAAGGTGCCTTCAGGGCCCTGACATCTCCTCCACCACCCGGCGCCGTAGGGTTGGGCCAGACTACGCTGGGAAACCGGCGTACGCGACGTACGCCGCGTACGCAGAGTAGTCTGGCCCAACAGTAGGCGGGATACGATGTGCAGAGTTAATTTCACTTCTTTCTGCTGATCAAGTAATAAAATGTTTCCCCGTACAAGAGCAGACTTACTGGCCAACTCTTAATTTTCACGGGGCGATCGCTGACCCGGGTGTGGAGAGGGGAGGACCGCCTAGCGACCGGGGGAAGCCAGACGGCGGGAGATCTGGCCTGGCCTCTTAGCTAGGCATCCGGCCGAAACCGGAAACGTCGAACTCCTTTACAGCTTGGGAGGCCCTGCCAGAGTACACACTCGGCTGCGCATCGCATCGACACCCAGTGTCACTCCCACGCCACGTTGAGGCGGCCGATCATTGTGGGAGGTTGGAACTATACGCGGCTTAATCTCATCAAAGGACTAAAACGCTTTGGTTCTATTTGTTGTAGCAAAGAAGTTTTTACTCTTTGAAAGTCCTTCTAAAATGAGCTTTGCTTTGCGGAATTCTGATATATTTGACAGTTGCGATGTATGCCAACATATCATTTTTGGAGCAAACTCACACTGAATAAAAGAAATAATCTGCATTTTATCGATCAAACAAGTAAAGTCAATTAGTTGTGTGACGGTCAAGCAAATCCATGCAGCCCGTTTGCCGATTCATTCCACGTACATTGAAAGGGTCTCGTCTTCTTCAGGTGTAAAATAATGAAAGGGTCTCGCCTTCTTCAGATGTAAAATAATCGCTTATTGTTCAAAGTTCACTTTTAGATGTATCTATTAAAAGCCAAAACAATCCATTATTAACCCTATCTCGAGCAAAAATCAATAAATGCGATTGTATCGAACGTATAGGCCATTCGTTACACTCAAAGAGAGGATGTCACTTCGGAAAGTGTCGGCTCTCGCCGATGTAGCGCTCTTTGATTGTTCTTGCCGTCCGCTGCCTCTCTCACGCACGGACTATCTTAGACGAACATAGCGGCGTACATTCTTTGCGTGCGATGAATGACCTATACTTTAACCACCTCTCACTGCTTTTCTTCAATGAATTTGCGATCAGCTGAGCGGTAACGTCAAGTGGGCAGTGTTGATTGTTTTCAACTCAAGAAATTTTCCGAGAGCAGTGCTTATTTGCGAAACATTCTCCAAACACAGCACTGCCCCTATTGATTTAGCCAGGTTTCATCAAGCCGTAATGTATACGTCAAAGCTACTTGCTTTTCAACCGTTTAATTGTTTTGGAAATAAAAAAAAATAGCTATCTTGCGGATTTGAAAGATATTGCTAAGAGAGTAAGAGAAGCGCAAACCAGCTCACGCACTTCAACGTCTTTGCGGAGAGTCATAACAGCGTAAAAAGCTAGAGATCATAGAGCAACGCAAGGTACCAAAATTTCAACATTACTGGCAATTACTTCGAAGCTAGCCAATATTTTTGGTGTTCTTGACGTGGTAGCACCTCAATAACTTGCCCTTATTATTACTGTGCTCACTATATCAAGGCTTTCCAAATTCTTTGTTCACGAAGAGCCATCAATTGTCTAAAATTGATATTACAGCAGCTTTACTTGTTCTCCAAGATTTTCCAATGTTATGTGTTGTTTCAAACTGCCGCACTAACAGCAGCAGCCACTGGTGGTGTAGCGATAAGTTCAATGAATTGCTTCTGCAAATCTGGTTTTCTTTTTCTTTTGGCTACTCACTCAATTCGGCAAGATTTTAACTATAGCAAGTACGATTTTACTATATGAACGCGCCAATTCTTTTAATTTGAAGTGTTGACGGTTTTGGTTTGAGTACGTTTGTGGTGTTATTCACCTATTAGGTCTCAAGTGTTGAAGACCTTATTTTGCTGCGTTTGCAGATTTGCAGTTGTTTTCTGAGGACCTTCGTGCTTACTTTGCGGTGTTCTAGTTTCCCTTAGATTCATGTTTTTGTTCTGATATTTTCTTTCTCATAAAAGCAACAGGGGTAAACCTCTTCGATTCTCAAAAAATCAGTACTGACATTTTCCAGAAGTGTTTCTTCTTTGACTAATTTACATGTAAAGCACAAGTAGCACTTGCTTTCTCCACTCAATTTCTGCACATAATGTAAGTGACAAACATGAAAAAACACTTCAAACTAGAACGATAAAACAAAAAATTCAACATTCGAAATATTTATTTAAAGTTGGAGCAATTTTTCCAAAATTCTTGTATACAAGGGGCGCAGCAGTTCGAGACCGACCGGAGTAAGATGATGTGTGTCCGAAATCCGTGCTAGAAATGTGACAGGATCGTAAGTGAGAAAGCTGCCGCTTTGAAACAGTCCCTGAAACGGCGCAAATCGAGTTCGGGTTAACATTTCATTTATAGAGGCTAGAAAAAAAACGTTGAGGCGTTCTTTGATTGCTTTTCTACGGAAGTACTAGACTAGACTATTAAACTACACGGATGTTGGTCTGTCGTTTACTGAGTGTAGGCCCCAGCACGAAAATTGCCATTTATTTCTATCCCTAGCTCGCATCATCCACGGTGGCTTTAGTGGTGGGCGGCTGTGTCTACAAGTTCCAAAAGTCATACTCAGCAAACTGCTTATTCCAGTTCCTGAAACACGCCGCCGCCTCGTTGATAATCTTTCCAAAGCACGTTGATGCAAAAGGTACCTCATGTTCGAATCTTCTGATTGGTTTCTTCAGCAGCGTCGAATGTCCGTACAGATATTTATTTTACAATATATATACAGACTGACGTTTCGGCAGACTCGCCTTTTTCAGAGTCTGAAACGTCGAAAACACATGGACGCTGCTAAAAAAACCAATTAAAAGATCCAAACTATGCCAAGATTTATGGATAGTCGAACATGGATTCTGGTACTTCATGTTTTTTAATGTCCATCTGTCTTCTGCTTCCTCAAGTTCTGACTGGCCTATCGTTCTTGGCTCTCGCTACGTAATCAGGTAACACGTGATAGTTAAATATGTAAGATTGGAACTCTGCTTGCGTCAGCTGATTAGTCGGTCGGCTATTTAAAAGGGCCGAAAGAAGCGAGACTGCTCTTTTTCTGTTGTATCTGTTCTTCAAATCGTTCTCCATATTGATCGATCAATAGATACATGGAAGCAAACGTCTCCACAAAGGGAATGCCTTTTTGTCCCACTTCCTTCTTAATAGCGAGAGTACTCGGTTGACTGAGCCTTCTCAAAACTCCAATCATCTTCATTACTTTGTCCAATTTTTACTGGTACCGTCTCTATACTATCACAATTATTTGAAATGAAAAATTTGTCATTGAAGAGGAATATGCTATCAACTCGTTGCCTTTCATTCCATTTCACTGATCTCGTCAAGCACTAAAATAGAATTCGGAGAGATTGTATCGTCTTGCCGTACCGTAGCTTCCTAATCATTGTAGACATCTCCACCCAAACTGCAACTTATTTTGATGTCATATAACGTAGGGGACCCCTACTAAGTCTCGCTGCAAAAGATCAATTCTGAAGCGAGAAAACAGTTTTGAAGGGTAGAAGCTCCCTTTGGCTCCTCTCAATGTGAATAGTCTGAAGATATCGAAAAGTGCGACTGTCTTTGAATCTCGGCATGATGATAATTGTGTTGATATAATTGTTGAGCCAGAAGTGAGTCTGAAGATAGCCCAAAATCAGGTTCCATATACCTAAGTTGTTATAAATCCGCTCTTCTCTACCTTGATAATTTATCAAATTTTAGACATTTCTATCATTCCTAAAGCCCTATTTTGAGCTTTCCATCTTCAGGACCGATAGGCGGAGCCATTGTCTTAATTACCCTAATTTCCGGGGTATAAGGCGCAGTAGCTTTCATCGGTCGCGGACTGATGTGCGATGACGTTTGCGATGCGCGGCGCCGCACAAGCAGTATACAGCAAATCTCTACCTTTTCTTTTATCAAGAATGACAAGAATAGGACAGAAGTAGCACCTTCAAGATATCAGTGGTATCGTTGTAAAGAAAGGGTTGGGCCAGACTGCGCGGCGTACGCGACGTACGCAGCGTACGCCGCGTATGCTCCTATGATGAATATACCGAGCGTACGCTGCGTACGCCGCGTACGCCGCTTCCCCCGCGTACGCCGCTTCCCCGCTAAGTCTGGCTCAACCCAAAGGACCGTTTCACTACCAGTAGCGTTGTTGGAAACGAAGGAAAGCACAAAATGCAGCACAGGCAATATCATTGAAAACAAAAGAAAGAATCATCTAGACGTCATAAACACCACTGAAAACAGCTTCCTCTATCTGTAGAAACGATTTGAAAGTATACGTTTTAAAAAGAGTAAAAAGTACCTGGGCATGATTTATAAGAAGTGAAGATTAATTACAGCACACTGAGTCTTTAGCTTTCTAGATTAGGAGAGCAATCATTTAGAAAGCGTTTCCGCGCTATTGTTCGCTGCGGTGGGTGCGCCTCATATAAGGTGAGCCTTATACCCCGGAAATTAGGGTAGTAGGAAGTTGTACACAAAAAAACTTCATTTTGTTCGTTTTGAGACAGTTAGTGACAACATCGCTAAGGCCATAAACTGCAAAAGGTTTGACAGACGTGCGGCTACGCATCGCACGTCCCATATCTTTATGCTTATTTGCGTACGCCGCGAACGTCATGCAGTGTGGCTCAAGCCAAAGAGATAATGTCACACTTTTATGTGCTGCTCTTCGAGCAAGATTGAATCAGTTCTTGGTCCCTAATGAACTTCATGAATCTTACCCTGTTCCTGAAATTTACGCATGATTTACGAAGCGATTGTGTAAGAAACATTCTCGCAGTCTCTCAAAAAATTTAACTTCGCACAAAATGCAAAGTCGTGTTTTTTGTGTTGCTACAATGATTTATTCAGTTGTCACCATCACCACTTTCGTTTATTCTATCATTCATTTTCTGATATAGTGATAGTCGTCAATACTCGAAGCCTCGCCGCAGAGGTTTGTGTTTTGGTGATTTCCGCTTTTCTCATTTGTTGACTGAAGTTCACCAACGTACAGTGCTCCATGTTTTAAAGACTAATTGCTGAGCACTTAGCGCCAAGCCCTGCGCTTCATTTTGGGATGTCATAATGAAGTGGGGCCTCGCAAACTGAAGTTTTCTTGTTGACAAGCAATAGAAAGATTTAGCTTAGAATCATTTCGGTGTGATATCATAAGAACTTGCAGTCAAACGGGAAGGCGCCAGGTCGAAGTAGCCGGTTGAGATATGGTATACACACAAACTTCTGGTTTGTGGGTTATATCAAATGTGCACTCATCAGCTGCAAAGCCTTATGAAACAAGTTATGGCCGTTTGCGGTTTTGGAGCTTGCAAGTTTGAAGAACTGACTCGCAAATATCATAAACAGACTATTTGAAGATGGCAGTATTCCTATCTACTTCGTACATGCTAGCATTCTCCTTCAAAACAATTGCGTTTCTCTTCCTCGATTTTGAAAAAGCAACTGACACCATCAATTTCAATGCAATACGGGAATCTCTTGCTTACTTTGACGTCAATGATGATACGATTTCAATGATAAAACTCTAACAGAGAGAGAGACAGCGATCTATGATACAGCCGGGGCACCTTATAGTATCCACGGATAGAAGACGGAGCGTGCAGACGAGGTAATGGCTTGAAAGGAGTTGCCGCCGTTCGGCTACACTCCTAGTGCACAGGTGCCACTCATTCTTGAGTGATTAGATACTCAAGAATAATGGCGTACAATTCAGTACGGGAATCCACAGGCGATGTGGAAAAATGAAGTGATTAGGTTGATAATACCATCAACCTAATCACTTCACGTTATTGTTGCTGTTGAAATCATCAACTGCAACAACAGTGTTGCATTCAAGGTATAAAAAGGAGTTCGATAAGGCAACGCCTTGTCACCGCTTATTTTCATCACCTATTTCATCACCTTCCGTTCAGGATCAATACAATAAAGAGATGGAAATGGACATGATATCGTTGAAAGACAACTTCGCTAGCTTACCTTTTCGAACAAGAATTACGTTTTGTTATAAATTACAGTCCAGCTCGAAACAATCATTGGCAGCGAAACTTCCTAATGCATCCGAGCCCATTGGACTTTATATCAACGGGAACAAAATCAAATGATGGGTTAAGATAGAGGAAACATTGGACGAGTTCGACCATAACACTAATTGATAATGTCAACTAACGTACATTCCTATGTTTACCTCGACCAATTACAACAATGTCCGCATAACCGGACATGGAGGCACAAGACGCATCGTTTTGGTATGGAATGTTTTCGGCAAAACGCGGAATTTCTCACGAACAAAAATGTGGCTTTTTCTGGCTTTTTCTTTGAATACAATACTTGCATTTATATATGGCTGTGAAACGTGGGCACGAACAAAAAAGTCGCTAGCTCCTCCGATGTCAAAGAGCGATGGAAAGAACGATGCTGAGTTTGTTTGGGATCTAAAAAAATCATCAAGTTGAATTCGAACCATCACAATACTTGAAGACGCTATTGCAACAGCACGAAAAAGAAAGTGACGATTTGCCAGAATTTACTGATGTGTCAGTGAGAAGGAAGATGGGCAGCAACTTAAGTGAATTCAATAAATTGGATATCAGCCACCGTCGATGTTTCGGAGACGGCAGACCCAGAACACGCTGGGAAGACGATCTTCGAGCACACCGTATTACCTCCAAACTCACTCGTCACTGACAAAAGGAATCGAAAAACCCTCCAAGGAAAAAAAAATTGGGTAACATATGCAGTCTCACTGAATATCTAGAGCCTTAAACCCATCACTTGTAAAAAACATTAAGAATGAATAAAGAATAAACAAATGCCTAAGGAACGCACGACTATTCCAAGCTTAACGTATGGTGTAGTGGTTAGTGTCTCTAAATTATAAGTTACCAGTGAGGGTTCAAATCCTGTTTATCTTCTCAAGTCCTATAACATTTCTGAGTTGTTCAATGCATATTTGAGGCAAAATAATGATGGCGCTTGTCAAGCACCATCATTATAAACCTGCCGTGTTCTTCCTAGAAGGAGCCTAATAGCAAGTCAGTGGTACGTCGTAAAACAGCTTGGAGTTGATAAGTGCACATTTGACACCATTCCTTTGAGTCGTCAGATTACGTACCACATTTTAGTCGGCCACTTTGCTCTGGCAACCTTGCCTTGTCAGTCGCTTGTTCTATTGCTTTTGCACACCTCAGCGATATCGTTGAAGATGCATTTGGTGCAGTTAATTGAGCTTCTGAATATTCTCGTAGATCGCGTTTGCTTGATGTACTGCTAAAAAGTAACTAGTTGGTTGAAAGCAGGGAGGTACAAGCTTGAAAACATACCTTCCAAGTAACGACAAATTCATCACCAAGAGAAAGGCCATGTCGAAGCTTTCTTGCAAGTTCTGCGCCGATAAGAAAGTTGTGTTTAAAATAGGGCATGTCAATGACAATAAACCTCGTAAAATTGCTTAATCGGCTTCCTGCAGTTATTGCCAAGCTCGCAAAACATAACTATTTTATCAAAAAATCAATAGTCGTTTTTGCAGAGTGAGGATGTTTCGATATCAAAGAAAACACCAGTATTTATCTACAAATATTTATGGTTTAAGAGAGGTACAGATTCGTTGCAAGTAGCACATAAAGGTTCGGATTTTTAAATTTCCTCGGTAACACTCAGAGGCAATGGCTTAACACCAAACACCTCGGAATTTTAATATGGTAAGTGCTTACATCTTATTCAGGCAGAGCAAGTCTGAACGCATGCCGCCTTCAAAAAGACTTTCCAATCCTGTGAGCGAAAGCCATTCTTACACGCATTTGAATGAGCTCGCGACTTTGAGTTCCTTCATACTATGCCGCAGGACGCGGCGTTTAGCGGTGCACGCGGCAGGGCGCAGCAGCCTGCGGCGTGAGCCGCTACTGTCGCAGTGGCACGCTCACGGCAGCACAGCGCCGGTTATGGATGTTTATCTATATTTGCTGCACGTTCGTGTTCCCCGGAAGTGTTCGTTCACAGCGAGCGAGCTTATATTTTCACTGCGACTGCACCGGCGTCCTGCCGCGTGTGCCGCAGCACGCCGCGCCTGCGGCGTATTATAAAGGAATCCTTTCTCTCGCCGTCATAAGCAGCATGCCCCTATGTTATAAACAAGGGTCCTGCAAAGACCCAAGATCAAAGACTCTGCTCTCCAACCTTGGCGAGAGCTGTTAGCCGTCGAGTCATGATATGAATGGCCGTGGAAATGGTTTTTCGCCATTCCTCCGTGCTCTTAAAATGTAATCTCGGGATCGTCGAATACTCTAAGTAAGCAAACCCTGCGTGTAACCCTGCGTCTTGACTTGCGCACTCGAGTTTACAGTATGTTTCAACCCTCAGTAGGCGAAGCATTTGAAGTGGGGCAACGCGTCCTCATCGCTGGAGGCTTCGCAAGTGCTCAGCGTTGGCATTTTGCCTAAAGGTTGAGGAAAATAAAGAGAGGCGAACAAGAGTTTTCAGCACTACAGTGTACTGTAGCTGCGAACGGCGCGAAACGTTGCGAGGCGGATGCCCGTCACCAGTCCCGCTCAAAGCGGGTTGAAACTTACTGTATATTGAAAGGCGGACAGGTTGCCGCCCACGAAGGGAGTCCCGGAGGGTGGAGCACTATATGTCGCCGAAGGAGGCTCAAGCGGTTTTCGCTTCAGAAGCAATCAGAGCGATACTAATTGAGCAAAACCTTTAGTAGTACGTGCGCCATCGCTCTCTACTTTTTTCCCATTGCGCCATAATTCCCCTTTCGCTGCCTTCCATAACATAGAATTTTGAAAAAGGATGAAGAAAAAAGGCTGAGATGATGACAGCAGTATCAGTATTTCATGTTTATAAACAAAACAGAGTTGGTGTTTGTTTCGAAATTTTCAATTGAACCGACCAAACACTACAAACATACCCTTCCAGGACGGTGAGTAAGGCTCCCGCCAGAGTGCCGAAGCCATGCCAGCGCTACGCCAGCGCCGAGCCAGCGTTTCGATCGATACACGTGTATTTCGTTGGGGCGGGGTTAGCTGACCTAGTTCCAGGACCCCGCCCCAACAAAATACACGTGTATCGATCGAAACGCTGGCTCGGCGCTGGCGTAGCGCTGGCATGGCTTCGGCACTCTGGCGGGAGCCTAACGTTCACTTTTCGCTATCGATCGATACTGATTCTTAAAAAGGCTTGAAAAAATTAGACTTTCAAGTATATTTAATTGGCGTAGGGGTAAGTGAAGTAGAACCTTGCAGAAGGGACAAGGAGAGGGAATGAGGTATAAAAATGGGACCGACTAGTGAGTTCTTTGATGTCATGTTGATAGGAACCAAGCAGAGCCGGGTATCCCAATTAGTTGCCAATAAGAGCTGAGTCGCGGCCAATCCTCAGTTATGATGCTCACAGGAGAATGATTGAAGTTGAAGTGGCCTCAAACAGCTGCATAGGAATGGATGCACATAAAATGTTGACTTGACATTTATTCCCTGCCTTCTACAAGCTAAGCGCATTTGTACACTAATTTATGAGCAATTTCATTGCAGCAAATTCGCAAGTTCACGTTGCAAAACTACACATGCTCGTTCACTCGCTTTCAGGCATAAATTTTTTACAGCAACTGCATGTTCTGCCCCAGCATAAAGCCAAACATACTGTATGTCTAGTTTTGCGCTTCGTATACCGATTGCCATGGCACCGGTGTTTGAAACTTTCTCAAGTTTTGCGTTACAGCTGGGATTTCAGAGCGCCCGGTAAAATGAAGAAGAGTGTTGGAGTGAGGGAAGATATAGTGGAATTTGAAAGGGATTAAGTGTTAAATCTGAATAATATGTCATTACGTACACATCTTCACCAGTTAGGCTAAAATTTGATTCAGGGATTGGGTATGGGGGCATTTAGGCTGTTACTGGAAATATGCGTTGTGACTTTCCGCACTCCCCCCGCACTTTTTCAAGAAACAGAAAACGCGCCCTTTTAGTGGCGCTTAACCCATTCCTAGCTCTGATTCTTTGCAAAAAATTGTTGCTTTCTTATCGAAACAAAAAAAATCAACAAGCGATCTTGCAAAAGCGTGTGGTCAGTGTTCTTAAAATTTGCAAGTGAAGTGCAATAAATTAATTACGTATTTTTCTGACAATGTACACTGTCTACCTGATAAAATTAATGTTGCTTTGATATTGATTATAGGTCATATCTGTTTCAATATCCTCAACTGGACCAACTCTTAAATGGAGGCTTTGATATGATACGAACGGGAAACAATAACTACGAACTTACATATCGTAGTGAATGTCCAATACAATATCGGGTCTTTCCCGCTGTACCATTTCTCTCACTGCACCCGAAAAAGAGCTACACCAGTTCAGTAGAGGGGCGCATCCTGATATATAATGAAAAACTAGCTTGCTTACTCGGCTCCTCTCGGTGTCAAACACTGTAATAAAGGTCCCAACCCTATCCCGTACACCCTTTCCCTGTGCCCACTTCTACACTTCATTTCCCGTCCCCTGTGTTGTTTTCGAAATCAATATGCCCCCTCGTGCCAATCCCAGCCCTTCAGCTCAAAGTTTGAAAAAAAAACGATAAAATCGATAAAAGTTTTGGATAATTCGAAACTAATATTGTATTCGTAATCAGCGTGCTCACATAGTACCTCCCTGTGCCAATTCCCAGCCCCGTAGCTTGAACTTTGCAATCGATAAAAATCGATAAAATCGACATTGATCGATAACAGTAGTATGACAGCTCCCTGCCCCCGAAGTGATGTGTGCCAAGTTTGGTCCAAGTCGGTTGAGAAATATTAGGTTGGTTTATAATTAATGCACGTTTTCTCAACTTCCATTTCAAATGAAGATAATTCTTTTCCAAAACAATCTTTTTGAGCGCAACAAAAACTATTATAGACAGCAAACTTTTAGCTATACAGCGTATACTTTTGTGTGATTGCACTCATCACTGGAAAGATTTTACGGTTCAAAAATTACCGAGAATTTTTTTCTGGAAAGCTCTAGTTTGAAGGAGCATAACTTACTCTCAAAAGAACTAAATTGGAGCAAACTTTGCTTATTGTGTAGCCGATGGTCGATTCAGTAGTAGCGTGGAACTTGGCTTTTACCAAAAAATCACTGCGGAAAAAAATATTGCCAAGAAAGCAAAAGTACCATTTTCTCCTGCATTCTAGAGAAGGCAAAAATCTGTATTTTTTAGATTCCTTCAATTTTTTCTCATTTCAAAAACGAGAAAATTCTGCCGTTTTCTTATAATTAGTAGTCCTTGGTCTACTCTACCAAAAGCAAGTGAAAGTTCTGTAATTACTTCGCATGTAAGCATTTTATAAAGCTCCAAGTGATTCCCGGCATTCAGCTAAGTTTGAGTCGAAATTTCTCGGCTAAGGATTTCTAAAAAATTTAGCCTTCGAGAGCATTTTGTAGCACAAATCTTCGCGATTATAACACATATTTTTTGAAACAAAATTGAGCATGTTTCATGGAATTAGGGCAAGTCGAATGAAAGGGAAATTTTTCAAGTTTGAGTTCCTCACCTTTAAAGGCACAGAACTTTGGTCTGAACAAGGATCTCCGAAAAAGAAAGTGTATGTTTGAAAGTAGAAGAAACGAGCTTTCCGACAGCTTACAAGGAAATGGTCAGAAGTCGAAGTGGCCAATCCATACAATCTGCATACCATTCGATGCAGCATAAAGTGCTGATTTCAAGTCTGTCTTCCTTATCTGCAGAACATCTTTGTAGGCGAAGTTATGAGCAGCTTTACTGCGAAAAAAACGTATACAAAAATTGCGAAATTAGACATATTATTGCTCTTTTAGCTCACCTCTAAGTACGGGTCATATAAAGGGACCTAGTTGCATGTTTTGGTGAAACACTGAGCCGTGAATGGCTTTGTACGGCCAAGTATGCACTTTACACGCACGATTTCTCAGCAAATAATGATCTTCAACGGCTTATGATTTCGTCCACAAAAGCGCTCTGCAGATAAGAAAGACAGATTTAGAGTCAGCGTTTTATGCTGCATCTGATGGTATGCAGCCTTGTATGGATTGGCCACTTCGACTTCTGACCATTCCCTTGTTAGATGGTTTTGAAGAAACACGAATTTCGATTGACTAGCGTTTGAAAGAAGAGGTAGGAAAAACGTGCATCAATTATGAACCAACCTAATAAAAATTTCTACTCCACACATACGTACAGACAGACATACACACACATTCAACTTTATATATAAAACGTCATAAAAGAATCTTGAACTCACCGCTTGCTGCAAGGAGACGGAATTTGCGATAACGCCCTTTGAGGATGTTGTGAATTAGCGGGTATGCCCGCCGTGCGAAGGAGTTTCCTACTAAGATGATATTGGCAGTGCCATTTCCACTCTATAAAAGAGGACTAATTTATTTCCGATTGAATGGCAGTACCAAGCCTAAATTCTGGCAAAGGCGATTACAGGTGGTTTATAGTTCACTTCATGCGTGTTCTCCCTATTCTCACCCCCACTGTGGGTGAAAGTCACAATCGTCATTTTATTTATTTATTCATTTTTTGTTTATCTGTTCATTTACAGACGAGGCCACCCACAAAATAAAGATTAAAAAAGCGCAACCAGATTCTTTGCTGAAGTGTTTGGGTTTCCAAAATGTGAGAGATCAATCCTCCTTCTCTCATACTCAAATGCAGTTTTTGGCAGAAATTACCAGGCTTAGCTGGTATTAGAGGCAGAAAAATTTACAAGAAAAGAAAATACATCTATAACTATGCCGAAAATGCAGCAATGATTTTTCCGTTTTTACTTCGTTTGGTAAAAATAGGAAAAAACGAACGAAGATTGTAGCCAACCTGTCGTCATTTTCTACTAAACGTCCGAAATTCCCTAGTCACCAAAATCTTGATGAAAGTTAGATTTTTGCAAAACTTAACGGAAGTATCCTAGGATGTAATCTCCTTTGATATTAGCTCAATCTGTTTGGAAGTCCGGCATACAAAAAATTGAGGACGACCGAAATTATTCTACTGCCTAATTTTCGGTGGCACAATCGAGATCTCTTTGTCCGAGTACAGCAAAGTTTGAGAACCCAGTAATTGCTTGGTTGTTGCCATTGTTCCTAAACTCGAAGGCAGCGTCCATGCAAAACTGGACACATGAGGATCGCATGTGAAAATTTTTTTCAATGGTGTAACAACAAGGAAAGCTTTTTTAGTTGATGTGGCCTTTCCACATAAACCCTAAATAACTTCGTAGAGCACTGAATGATAATTCCGCAGCTCCTTTCTTTTCTCCGAAGCAACTTTTCGAAAAAAGTCACGAGTGTTCAAAAGTTTGATTTTGAGAAAATACTATGCAAATTTCTACAGGCTGTCTTCCTTCCTTGTGTTCAGTATACATACTTGATACATTGATCACCTACTTTCACTATTTTGTACATTTTTTCGCTAATTTTGTCTTACTTAGAGCATGGTAAATCTGGACTTTCAAACACAACTTCTTTTGGAGAATAGTGCCGCAGAAAAAAAGGCAGATTTGGAATTAGCGTTCAAAGGTGCTTATAGTCGTATAAGTGAGATGTGTAAACTTCAGCTAAAAAGGCTTGTAAGACAACGCCCAAGTGACAGCGCTGATGGTGCACTCGCAGCTAAGGTATTCATCCCCACACTAGATCCTACTGCCGTAATCTGCGAACGTTGCATGCGATTGCATGGGGACTCAGAGCCTACGCGATGGGTCACCGTGCAAAACCCTGCAAGCCGATGCAAACTGTCTGCTAAATACCGTACTGCGGACAGGTGTAGGGACATGTCATTGAAATGCGGAAGCGAACAAGTAGATCGCTAAAAACACGTTAGAAATAAGGTCTGAGGCGATTAGCCCCTATCTGTAGGGTGGCGATGACCGGAGTAATTCGTGGTTTGGTGTAACACCTGCAGAAGACCATTCTGGTAAAGGTTTTTTGCACCTCTTCGAATTTTTCAATGCTTTTTTTGAATGGGAGTTTCCATTTTTTGGAGATGCGTGTTTCAAAGTGGTAAGATGTAGATCTTGCAAACTTGAAGTAGGAGAACGGGATTATTACTATGAATGCTCTTAATGTTACAAAGGAGCTACTCAAGTTTTAGACCGTCACAGAGGTATGTGGGCGGCGGATGGCATTTGCCAAGACGCAAAACTTTTGATTCGAATGCGTAAAAGACTCCGTTCCCTCAAATTTTCGACTTTCATGTTTTGGTCTTTCCCGGCCTTCTCATGTCCCTGAATACGAATATGGAGTCACGAATCCACAAAAACCCCGACAACCCGCGGGCTGTTCTCCGGAACGGTGATTGGATGGCGGGCATACTGAAGAGAGGCGGCGCCGATCAGGGGCCCTCATGCCCTTTGCTATTTCGAAGAGATTTCCTCGCTTCCGAAGCGACATATTGCGCAACTTAGGCATTGGATTGATAGGTAATCCTACTACCATAAGCTGGCAAAAGTTCAAGACCCCTGATTTAAGGTGGACGTTGCCTTTGACAGGTTAATTTTTTGCCTTAGATCACATGATTATCTTCGTACAGAATTTGAGATTGTATCATAGACCAAGTTTGACTTATCATTTTCGTAGCGGAATCAAAGTATTTATTATCTGGAAAAAATGAATTCCGCATGCGTCTTCAGAACTTTTGGCAGTTCTGCCGATCGTGCGAGAAAAAGAAAAGAAGAGTTTTGTTCTTGTTGCACACCATTAAAACTGTTTGTGTTCATTCGAAAACTATCAGAACTGCAGTAGAAGAGAAATTCCAAAAAACATTTAAATTCGGAAATAGTCTATCTAATTTTCCAAGGCACTCAAGCTAGCCCAGTGCATGAAGTTAGTCCACTAAAACATGAAAAACTTTGCTAAAAGAAAAAAAAAGAGAAAGCAGGGAAAATGGATGGGAAAAGTAACTTTGTGTCGAAGGAAAGTGTGTGTTGAGAAAACAGTTGAAAGAAGCAGAAACAGAAAGCATTTTTTGGCGGATTTTTTCGCCTTTGATGTACATAGTAAGTTAATCGAAGTTCCTAATTTTACGATCAAATGGGCTTAATACAAACAGTAAAATTTGCAATTGGCGGTTAGTTATGTACTACTACAGTGCTGAACAATATCATAAAGCCACAGTGAAAATTATAATTATAGTTTGAGTTTTCTTGATAGATCTGTCCGGAACTTTGTGTTACGCACGCTAATCTAATGATAAGATATTTCTTCAAAAAGGCTTCGAATCCTGCTAAGTTTTAGTGGAGGACAAAGGAAAATTACAAAAAAAAACGAAAAATAGCGGAAAAACGTACTGGAAATTATGCCGTATTGGGCCGGTGCAAAAGTTTTGTCAATTTGAAATGTCCCGCAAATCCCGTACAGTAAGGATAAACAAACCACTTTATTTATTTATTTTATTTTTATATTTATTTTGTCGTATTTTTCAAACGAAAACCTTAAAATTGACAAAACTTTTGCATCGGCCTAACATGATGAAGCCACCTGTTTCACACTATTGTAAGCCTTGTCTCTCAATTTTTTTACTGTTCCATCTTAAAATGTAAAACATATGCAGAACCTACGACAGTTCTCATCTCTGTCCTCTTCGACAGAGATGATAACTGCATTTTTTTCACTTTTAACAGCATCAAAAGTTAATTGTTTCAGCAAACAGCTGGTTTAAAAAGGGGCTCTTATTTATTTAGATGATAGTGATAGAACCCTTCGAGTTTTTTGCAAGAATAAGACAGACTCTAACATCACCATAAAACTGTCACTCTTTTATACAATCATATTTTATCAAGCGACAGAAATGCTGTAATGTAGGCTTACGTCGGCTGTACAACAACTAACTTGTGGTAGTTAAGAAAAATTTGCGGGGGGTTATGCTAGCCTAAAGCGCCTATACAGCAAAGTTTCAGAAAGGTTCATCGACAAGAAATCACGAAGTTTTCCAAAGTGGTTTCATAATATATAATGTCCAACACCGTATGCAGTTGCTAGAATTTGGAAAAGACCCTCTGAAACACCAAAATGTTACTTACCGCAACACATCTCCACTGAATACCTTTAAACTTTGAATGAAGCTGAGTGTCATCCTTACCGCACGGTAAGTGAACGTCTCCACTCAATTGCCGCATGTTCCATTCAATTGCATAGTCGATTTCTGCAAATGTTAAGATTTTTTTCTTTAGGCATAAATTTGCGTTTTGAGCAGATTGAACTGGAGATGTTTCGGTCGATGCTTTCTAACGTTGGAGCGTAGAGGTAGATGTCTTTAGTAAAAAGTATCCATTCGTAACACGCAATGACACATATCAAAGCAGGTAATACTCCTCTCTCAATAAAATATTCCTCGAATAAGCTTTTGTTATAAAATCAAGTTTTATGGAGCAAGGCATGTTATCCACTTCAAGAGTGTGATGGATTGCTGATGATACAGTATAACTGACGAAGAATACAATGAGGATATCTGTAAAAGAAGTTTTTGAGAACTACACATTCTTTGACTACATTATAATGCTGCTATAAAAACTTCATAAAGTTGAGAAAAAAAGAAAGTTTGATTACGGACGAAATTCCCTTCCTTATGTTTGTTGCGAAGATGTGGAGAACACTCCGTAATATACGCGTACATGGTAGACGCACGACTTGTAAAATGCTTATACGTTTTGATGTAATTTTTCAATTTTACGTTCTTGATCTTCTACAGACACTTGCATGTAACACAAAAAATGGCTCACCGCCTTACTCGGGGAGGATAGCTTACAATAGCTTACAATACAAATTCTTTCACTACATTTTATAATCTCTATATATTAGGTTGGCCCAAAAGTTCTTTCGCACCAAGTTCAAAAATTTATAACTCCCGGTTCTTTCAGCCGATTTGCGTGTTTTCATTTTTATCTGAAAGAGCAATTCATTCTGTTCATAGCAGTACTTAAGCAGCTTTCTCTTGAGCATGCACTGCGTAGATAGGAGCGGTAGGAGAAACTTAGTCAAAATTCGAATTTTCTGTGTAGGGTCATAAAAAATCGGGAACTTGCTACAAAAATCGGAGCAGTCGATATTGTAGGTTGTTACGCCGAGAACGTCTTTATTAAAAGTTACGATTTTCGAATAAGCAATACAAAAGGGCGAATTTGATTTATTTTGGCATTTTTCAGGAAAATCGTAACTTTTCTTAGAGACGTTCAATCGGCGCAAACTTTACACTGTCAGAAAGAGCTGGTGAAAGAACCTACAAAACTGACTGCTCCGATTTTTGCTGCAAGCCTCCGATTTTTTATGACTCTACACAGGAAATTCAAATTTGACTAAGCTTCTTCTACCGCTCCTATCTACGCAGTGCATGCTCAAGAGAAAGCTGCTCAAGTACTGTTATGAACAGAATGAATTGCTCTTTCAGATAAAAATGAAAACACGCAAATCTGCTGAAAGTACCGGGAGTTATAAATTTTTGAAATTGGTGCGAAAGAACTTCCGGGCCAACCTAATTTATAAAGCAGAAAATCTTTTCGTTTATGGACATTTTCCATAGTTATGGAGGATGAGCGGTGAAGCTCATATTGATCTGCTGTCATTAAGATATGGTAGGGGCGGTAGGAAGCGAAACGAGTCGAAATCAGATGGAGGGTTTTGCCACAGGAGAGATCAAGCACGATGGACTGGCTTCAGAAGTGGAACCCGTGATGCCAGCTCGTGCTGCTATAAAGACTTTGTATGAGTGAGAAAAAAGGGAGATTGACTGCGGACGAAGCTCCCTTCTGTATGTTTGTTGCGGAGATGTGGAGAGCACTCCGTAATATATATGCTACATGGTTAGACGTAGGACTTGTAAAATGCTTATGCGTTTTGATGTAATTTTCCAATTTTACGTTCTTGATCTTCCGCTGACACTTGTTCATGTAACACAAAAAATGGCTCACCGTCTTACTGGGTGAGGAGTTACGAGCGTTACTCTGGGTAAGGAGTTACAGTAGCTTATGAGTGAAAAACTCAATTCCTGATCAGAGTAAAACCAACGATGTCAGTCTTTCCACCATGCAGATGGAATAATGACGAGCATGAGGGAAGCAAGCAGGAAAGTTTTTTTTTTCATCAAAAGATCAGCAGCGACTAATGTCCCATTTGATTCACAAGATTCGTCTATGAATGATTTTATTTCAACTACGCTATTTTAGAATCTTTTTATAACTCCTTGCCCAGAGGAGATCCGCAGATGAGGAAAACAGATTTGGAGTTTGCATCTCTTCTAGGAAGGCCACTTAAACTCTGAATTCCTCTTCTGTAAGATTTAAGCCAAATCTACCGGTGACAGTCATCATCCGCCAATCCGAACAATATCGAACTGCCACAATGACTGGCCAGTGTACAAGATATAGGACGTATGATAAAGCTCCACAGTAGACTATACACTTATTCGTTAGGAGAAACACATTTGCATTGAGATAGATCAGTGCTCCAGTCATACATGTTGCGTATATCCTTGAATCCAAAAAGTGTTGAAAAAATCCTTTTCTTCTCAGCTCAAAAGCATTGCGAATCCTTAAGGCTACCTTTATCTTACTTACCTCACTAAATTTGCGTCAAATTGTTTTGGGTTCGTTATCACGATTGTCAACAAAGCAACGAGCAAGGTGTTGGCAAGGTAGGATTTTTTGGACATATTTTGTTCAGAAACTGAAAAGCATCATTTTCAGTCATGGTGAACAGTGCAAAATCAAAACCACAAAGTTATAGTATCTGCTAATCTGATTCACTTTTTGCTAGCTTTCCTAGTGTACCTTGTCATCCAGTGTATCCTTTTCTTTCTTCATGCCTTGCTCTTGATAGATATAATCAACACTTTGCACAGCTGATAGTGAAGGAGCTAATATCCGACATACGCTGGCTGAGTAAGTGACGACATGCCAACTTTGTGGATATGTTATACGGGGTGTGCCAAAAAAATGTGCGCACTGTTTGATTCACAATGACTCCCCTTTCATCGATTTCCAGAAGCGTTACGTACCATTCTGTAGGCTGTCAACTTAGAATTACAGCATGGAAGCAAACTAGCGTTCTCCTTTCATTGCTGTGGGATCACAGTAACCGCTTTGAATAAGGTTTTGCGTCATTAAGGCTATTTTACCTATAAAAGGAAGACTGAAGATGCTGAAACTTTTTATACTAGGCTAGAGTTGCTGAATTTGAATATGAAACTCGCACTTCATCGTAACGCTTTTCATAAGTTACTCCAGATATATCGTGGCAGCCTATTTCCGAAATTCGTCAAAATTTTGATTACGCCATTTAAAAAGCTCGGCGAACGCGTAAAAAAACATGTAGTGGAATCAGCATACATGAAAACCTGCTTACACAATCCAAATTTTTGAAAAGTTTTTTCGAACTCTACACAACCCGCCTTTTTCGAACCCAACATCTCACAGCGTCGCCACATGTGACGGATTTGTACCGCAATCCTATACTAGTAAAAAGTGATTGGTAATGTGCTCCACATCGTAAATTCAGGTTGGAGGCAGTTTAACAGAATGGTATACCCAAAAGATTTCATGACAATTTCATTTCAATCAAACAGTACAGACGCTTTCATCCCGGATTAAGCAATTCTGCGTAGAGCAGCGCGTGTTTATGGCTGGAGGCATTGCGCTGGCATTTTGCCAAGCTAAGACTAAGGAGAACGAAGAGCCGCAGACTTGGGTTCTCACCACGATTATACTGTAGCCGCAAAACGGCGCAAACCATTGCGAGGCTGACGTCCTCCAATCCAATTTCCGCCCAAAGCGGATCGAAACTTACCGCAAATTCGCAGATGAGCTACGTCCACACAGCTTCTATTATCATATTCTGAGTGAGTCTATAATTAAGCGTACTTTTGGTTGCATGTGCAAATCTTATAAGCTCTTTCAGCCAAACTTCTCTTAAGAATGATACTTTCACACTAAAGAAAAATCATATAGTAGGTGGGTCCGAAAGTACGTGCCTTTTTCAGACCTATCTCATACCATTCAGAATAATGATGGACATACGCTTTAAATGGGTTTGACGCAGGTTTTCTTCTTCTTTTTAACCGTTTGATGTTCGTTTGAAAATTTCATCAGAATCTTCAACCCATGGTTTTACTCATCCTGAGTTTGGCTATTTTTTTAGAATTTCTATTTTCAACTTTTGTACTAACTTTGATAGCAGTTAGATAGTGTGAACAAAATGCAATGTGATACAATTTTTTAGCATCGATAAGTAGCTGCGTTAATTCTTTTGAAATTCTCATTTTGATGCTACCCAAATCGATATTCGTTTACGTTTATCTCGAACTTCAAAGAATATCAGACGGCAGACAGCTAGGTTGTCGTTCGAAGTGACTTCTTCTCCTTTTTTGGCAAACTCTTTTCTTTCTGATTCGTAAAAGGCCTCGACGAAAAAATTGCCGTAATTTTAGCATTTTTGATGCGTCCTAAGCTGCACCCGAAAATTTAATAAATCGATGTTTTGAGGGGTAGAAACTCATTTGTTCGTCAGATTTAGTGTTTAATCATAATCAACTTTTGGGAGTCCCAACTTGCGACGATTTGCTAAAAAAATCGGTTCTGTAGCATTTTTTTTACACAATTCAATTGTTATCAAAGCTTTTTCAAAAATCTAAGCGAAATTTCCAAAAATGACTGAAGCTAGGGTACCTAGAATGCACGGGTTGGAGGTTGCGGTGATCATTCGAAAGAATATTAAAGTAAGCCAAGCAAAAACATCATTGCTGAATTTAGTTGTCTATCAATATTATGAATGATTTAAGGATTATTCTAAAAACGGCACGACTTTCGGACCCACTAGTGTATAAAGTTTAGTGTCAATTTGTACGTATATCTGTATGCGTCTTTTTGTGATCGATCCGGACCAAACTTGGCACACATATGCTTCAGGGCGGGGACGGGAGTCCTATGCTACTTCTCGTCAGTGATTGATATCGATTTTATTAGTCTTTTGCGTGTTTTACTTACGAGTCTGGGAGCTAGACAGGGGTATTTCAGCAGGATAAGTACGAAAATATTATCAGGACCGGGCGGAGCCGGCTTCGCCAGCTAATATGCTGATATTACACAAGATCTTTAACCCACCTTGATCGGTTCCAGGTGCTTTTTGTTTTTGTAAGTTAGACATATGTTCCAATGTGTAATGGTCCCTTTTATCAGCATCCTGTTTCCTGTGATCTTGATTTGATAGAAGCTCGTATTCATGAGTAGTTGTTGAAGGCAAGGTAGTTAACTCGTTCACAATTGCTCCACACAAAAACTGCCATATTCGAGACACTGGGAAGCCGTATGATATCTGATAGAACATTACTGCATCGTGAGATGTTCATACTTGCTTCATCTATACCAACTTTTACTTTACTCATAGATAATATATTCTTACAGTACTACTCAGACAATCACAGGCTCTCAGCGGGCCCCACCAAAAGCGTCGTTGCCTTATCTCAGCCACTGTCGCTTCCCGCTGAGAGCTTTGTCGGAGCTTTGTCGGAGCTTGTCGAGGCGGGCTCGCTGCCCGCTGAGCCCGCTCCGACAAGCTCCGACAAAACTCCGACAAAGCTCTCAGCGGGAAGCGACAGTGAGGCGATGAGGCCACCGCGCTTTTGGTGGGTCTAGGCGGTGGCTTTGTGGCTGCCGGCTGAGAGCATTTGATTGTCTGAGTACAAGTAAGCCAAAGACTTTTTGTTCCTTTGTTTACATTATCACATGTGAGATCAAGAATGCAATGCATGGTAGTTAACAGATTGACGACCGCTTGGTACACATAATGTGTCAAGCAACGATCACCGCGTGGGATAGCTTAATACACATGGTATGTCTCAAGGCTTGAATTTGGCTAAAATGACGACTATCTTGGGACAAACTTACTCCAGGAATTTCTTTAACGCTAGTTTTGAAAATAATCCCCATCGTTTTTCGCCCCTCAGGGCTTCTGCAAGCATACTGTAGGTGTCAGTATGCGTGATATTTGAAAATTGTTGACTGGTCCGTGAATGACCTTGGTTCCAAAGAACAGACAACTAAAGACTACTCCATTGTGCAAATTATTGGTTTTTTACTTATGCCGAGTGGGGTTTGCACAAACCATGCCACAATTCACTTGCCACATTCTTCATCTAACCTTAGAGCAGGAACAAAAGTTCACAATAGAGCATATGGCCACCCTAATCGTTTTTAGTGCTTTTAATAAACGACTCACATTGGGTGGAGTGTACAGCTGAAAGGCGGCAGAAGGTACTGCAAGAAAAAGAAGGAACATTAGACGAATGTTATTCGTGCAATAGGATGCTATTTTCGTTATTACAGGTGCAATAAGATAATACTGCAGCTCCACTCCGAGAGACCAAGTATGTACGAAAAATCGAAATTTCGTTAGCTCAAAATTGCAAGATTGGTGAACTAAGGCAAGGTGCTACCCTGTTCAAATCAGTACCTGTTCAAAATATCCTAGCCTTTGAAAAACTGGTTGTAGGTTAGAAGTAAACGTGCACACCCAAAGAAGATCGTTGACGAGTTGTCCTCTATCATATCGTATCACGCGGAAGTATCCATCAAAACGAATCAATAATTCTTTTCAAGGTTTAGATGGTTAACTAAGTTTTAAAGCCATTCATTATACAAAACCGGTTATTATCAGCAGATCATATTTTTTGAAATTGTTCTGTGCAGAATTTCATCATCTTACATGTGTATGTGGCAGCAACGGCGATCATGTACAAGGGTACAATCCTCTTGAACCTGCGTCCGTAAAAATCCATGGTGGAGACTGCCGTAGTTCCTTTGTGTTTAAGCATTCTAGACATGAGGTAGCCGGAAAGCACGAAAAATCTAAAACGCTATAAAGAGTCTTACTGAGCAAAAGTAAGGGACTGATGCATGAGTTTACATGTCTACTCCCACAAATCCAAAGCGGTAAGTCTTCGGTTTCAAATGCATCACAAACACGAGAAGAATTGCGACTCCTCTTAGCCCTTGCAGATCTGCTCGCTTGCTTTTCCTATGCTTCAAATGCTTTGACAGACCGGATAATTTTCCTTAAAATGGTACTGTCCTTACCTTGTCGCTATCCGCTTTTCCATATTCTGTACAAAAAGAAGTGCCTATTGAGATAAGAAGTTTTTTGACAATAGTGCGAAGTGGAAACTGTCTGAAACACCGTATATTTAGTCCCAAACCCGAATCACACACCTTTTACAGCGCTTCCGCATTATACTGGCAGACATTCTTGCGGTCCTGATTGCGCTGGCTGGTTATGGTGCAACAACTTAAATAATCGGAAGGCACGTGGACGGCGAATTCCAGTTTATTGCAAAGGTCAGCAGAGTTTGAGGGCCTGGCCAAACCTTCAGCAAGCGGCGCTTTCTTTGCCATCGCATGTTCTGCCAGCGGGAGCAATACAGAATTTTCTGCAAGCGTTCTGATTCTTATTACGCCGTCTTTACCCGAGCAAAGGTAGCACCCCAAATGGCAAAGGCGTCGTCATTATTGAGTCAATCAAGTAATTGCTTCCAGCGAGCGTTGGCCAAACTTTTTCAGCGACTGCTCTGACCTTTGTTACGCAGTCTCGGGCATACGCCGAGCAAAGGTAACACTCTATATGGCAGAAGTGTCATCGATGGTTTGATTACCCGACTTTTGGGTATTTTCTCTTAGCGGAAAGTACTCTGAGCAGTGCGGTCCTTGTGGCCTTCAATGATTTTGCATACTCCCGTGGAAAGTCCGCGAGAATGCGGCCACTGGACCGCAACTTATCCATAGAGAAACCGCGATAGTTCTCCGAGCGTTCGTCCAAAAATTAGCCAAAATTATTCCATTTCTGCAAGCGGACCGCAAGAAATCAGCGAACTAACTTTCGGGTGCCCGCTTGCTCAAAATTCGCATGGACGCCTGCCCCCGGCAATTATCTGAGATGGCAGAGGTGTCATAGTTGGTTTGATTACCCGTTTTGGGTACTTTCTCTCAGACTTTCTCCATACGGGCTGTGCGGTCCTTCACAAAGGACTGTGTGGCCCTCAATAATTTTGCTTACTCCCATGGAAAGTCCGCGAGAATGCGGCCACTAGACGGCAAGTTATCCGTAGAAAGACCGGATAGTTTTCCGAGCGTTCGTCTAAAAATTGGCCAAAATTATTCCAAATTTCTGCAAGCGGACCGCAAGAAATCAGCAAACTATTTTTTTGATGCCCGCTCAGGTAATCGCCGGGGGTAGGCGGCCATGCGATTTGTGGGCAGGCGGGCACCGGAAAAATAGTACGCTGATTTCTTGCGGACCGCTTGCAGATATTTGGAAGAATTTCGGCAAAAATTTGGACGAATGCTCGGGGAGCAATTGCGGAATTCATAGATTAGTTGCGGCCAATCGCCGCATTCTCGCGGACTTTCCGCGAGAATATGCAAAATTATCTGCCGCACGGTCCTTTGTGAAGGACCGCACAGCCCGTAGGTACCTTAAGCAGGGAGAAGGTATCCCAAACTTGAGTAATTAAACCATCGGTGACACCTCTGCCATGTAGAGTGCCACCCCTTCTCGGCGTACGCTCGAAACTGCGTAAAAAGAGTCCAAGCGCCTACTGAAAGTTTGGTCTGCGCTTGCTGAAAGGGATCATTTAAGAGCGCTTGCAGGAAATTCTGTTTGCTGCCCGCTGGCAGAACATGCGAGTGTAAAGAAAGTTCCGCTCGCTGAAGGTTTGGCCACGCCCCTAAATTTTGCTGACCGCTTGCAGAAAAGCGGGAGTTTGCGGACCTCCTGCCTCCGGAGATTGTCTGAGATTGCTAAGGTGTCATCGGTGTTTTGATTACCCGAGTTTTGGGTACTTTCTCTCAGACTTTCTCCCTACGGGCTGTGCGGTCCTTCACAAAGGACCGTGTGGCCTGTATTTTGCATCCCATAGAAAGTCCGCGGGAATGCGGCCACTGCGCCACAACTAGTCTAAAGCCGTTGTTGTTCCACCGCCTAAAAATTGGCCAACATTCTTCCACCTGCATGTGGGCCGCAAAAAATCAGCGAATTATATTTCCGGTGCTGGAAATATAGCCCATAAATCTCATGTCCGCCTGCCCATGAATCGCATGTTCCCCTGCCCCCGGCGTTATTTGAGTGGGCGGTCATGCGTATAGGCAAGCGGAGGCAACTTGCGATCCGATTGCATATATATGGAAGATTATCGCCCATTTTTCAGAGGAACGCCTGGAGAAGAATCGTAGCTTTTTTATAGATTAGTAATGGTGCAATGGCCGCATTTTGGTGGACTTTCCGTGAGAATATGCGATATTGTTGAGGTCCGCACACTTCTTTGTGAAATACATAGTTAGCAACCCATAGTTACCTTCCGCTGAAAGTACGCCAGACTTGGGTAATTAAACAATCGATGACACCTCTGCCATCAGATAATTGCCGGGGGCAGGCGGCCACGCGATTTTTGGGCAAGCGGGCACCGGAAAAATAGTTCGCTGATTTCTTGCGATCCACTTGCAGAAATTTAGAAGGACGCTAGGACATGCAAAATTAATGAGGGCCGCACGGTCCTTTGTGGAAACTGAGAGAAAGTACCTCAAACTAGGGTAATCAAATTATCGATGACACCTCTGCCACATAGAGTCTCACCTTTGCTCGGCGTACGCGCGAAACTGCGTAGAAAGAGACCGAGCGCCTGCTGAAAGTTTGGCCAGCGCTCGCTGAAAGAATTATTTAACGTGCGCTTGCAGAAAATTTTGTCTGCTCGCTGGCAGAACACCGAAGTACCGCTCGCTGTAGGTTTGGCCACGCCCCATAATTCTGCTGACCGCTTGCGAAAAAGCGGGTGGTCCACCTACCCCGGCGACTATCTAAATTTAAGGTATTTTCTTCCAATGGAAGGTACCTACGGGCTGTGTGGTCCTCCACAAAGGACCTGCCCCCTCCCCCTCAGCAACTTCGCATATTTTCACGGGTTTACGAGAATGCGGCCACTGTTGCCACAACTAATCTGTGAGACATGGCTACTTTTAATCTGTAAGTGAACCTCGAAAAATAGTTGATTAGTCTTCCGGTGCTCGCTTGGCTATAAATCGCATGGCCGCTTATCCCCGGCGATTCTCTGCATTTGCTCAGATAATCGCCGGGGGCAGGCGGCCATGCGAGTTTTGAGCAAGCGCGCACCGGAAAAATAGTTTGCTAATTTCTTGCGGTCCGCTTGCAGAAATTTGTGATAATTTTAGCGAATTTTTAGACGAATGCTTGAAAAACAATCGCGGTTTCCTTATAGATTAGCTGCGGCGCAGTGGCCCCATTCTCGCGGACTTTCCGCGAGAATATGCAAAATTTTCGGGGCCGCACGGTCCTTTGTGGAGGACCGCACAGCCCCCAGGTACTTTTCGCTGAGAGAAAGTACCTCAAACTTGAGTAATCAAACCAACAGTGACACCTCTGCCACACAGAGTCTTACCTGTGCTCGACGTACGCCCGAAAATGCGTAAAAAGAGTCCGAGCGCTTGCTGAAAGTTTGGCCAGCGCTCGCTGAAAGACATTATTTGCCGAGCGCTCGTAAAAAATGCTGTACTGCTACCCGCTGGCAGAATATGCGGCCGTAAAGGAAGTGCCGCCCGCTGAAGGTTTGGCCACGCCCCAAAATTCTGCTGACCGCCTGCAGAAAAGCGCGAGTTTGCGGACCGCCTGCCCCCGGCGATTATCTGAGTGTAACTCAACACAAGTTTGGAAACGAAGTGCTGTATAAGCATCAGGTTTCAAGCAGTTCTTGTAAATGTTTTTCTGAGTAAAGATAAGCACTTTGCTCATTCTAAATAAACGCTTGGGAAATCCGAAACTTGTGAGCATGTACAGTTTGACAAAAAATTTGTGAATCTAAATTTTTTTAACGTTATGTTACACAGCCATAAGTGCAACTACAAATTATATATGTAGATGATTAAAGGCTTTTTTTATTTCATATTTCTACTCTAACTAAAGTCACATCAGTTACGAAATTAGATTTAGCATTCGATGTGGTAACTCTCTGGCATTTTGCATGTATTTCCTGCTGTTCTCGCAACGGTGGATACGAATATCGAGGCTAAAAGCAGTGTCTCAAAACTCTGACTTCATACTTGTATTCAGAACCATTTTTAGGGTAAAAAGAACGGTCTCTCAGTTTCTCTCCCAAAACATCTCATAGAAAAACTGTATTCCAGGCGTTTTGCGAAATTCTCGAAAAAAAAACAGGCTAATCAGATCTGTTATTGTTCAGTGGATTAGATCCAAACTATGATGCAAAATCCCAGATTCCAAAAAAGTAACAGAGATGTTGAAAAAAGCATCGGTGTGTCTACATTATAATTTCATGGCAATGGCAATTGTACGCACTTTCTGCGCCACGTTATCTTATCCTATCCTGTTGGGCCGCAGCAGCTCTTTCGTTTGAAAAATTCACCTTTCCCCTAACGCAACTGCGGAATGACTAACCTCAGAATATTTCGAACTCACTAACACATTCTTTGAGTGGTAGAAAATTTTTCAAATTCACATTGGAAACAAAAAAAGTTCCTAAAAATTTTTATACTTTCTTTACACTTGTAAAAAATAGTTGCAAAAATTGATTTGGGATGCAACGCGAAAAAGGATATGCCGCCGGGTGTATTTGCAATTTAAAGGCAGTGGATCGGCAAAATCCAACAACTCAGGATTTTAACGGTTCCTTATCGCCCAAGTATGAAAACAGTGCAATCCCGGTTGCACAGCATGCTTTCCCTGCCGAGAAAATCGCTCTCAAACTTACACGCGCAGGCCAATCTTACACGCATCTGGACGAGTTGGCAATTTCCTTCTCACCATTGGAGGCTGCCCGCCGCAACGGTGTAATCATTGGGTCCTGCAACGATTTAGCGTCATCGGCCTTGCTCCACTCGTCCAATTCCAAGGGGAAGGGCATTGAAAATAGCTTATTTTCGCCATTTTCAAGCTCTCAAAAGTGGATTTTCGGAATCAGCATATTGAATAACCCCAGGTAAGCGCAAATTTGACTAGGTTGAGATTTGCCGAGCCATTGCCTTTAAGGGGCCAGTCTTTGTAAATTGGTAGAATGTATTCACAACTTAAAATTATGTCGAGTTTACCAGAAACGTGGGAATTACGCCGATTTTTCGCCTCCATTTTAACGGGCGGTACTTATTCTG